TATGGGGGTGTCATAACGTGGTAGAGGACACTGTATGGTGGTGTCATAACGTTGTAGAGGACACTGTATGGGGGTGTCATAACGTGGTAGAGGACACTGTATGGTGGTGTCAGACCGATGTAGAAGACAGTTTTATGGGGTCATGTCGGACCGTTGTAGCAGACAATGTTGTGACAGTTGTTGTGACAGTTTACGGAGTCTTGCTGGACCCTTGTAGAACTAACCGGAATCAATGTCGGGACAGTTTACAGAGTCTTGTCGGACCCATAAAGGAGCTAACCGGAATCAATGTCGGGACAGTTTACAGAGTCATGTCGGACCGTTGTAAAAGTTGCACCATCAAAAAGGTGTGCCCAATCTTTCAAAAGGCGGCCATCAAAAGGCGTGTCCAATTCATCAAAAGGCGTGCCATCAAAAGGTGTGTCCAGGTTGGCGTCGAGCGCCGAGCGGCACATGATGCGCGTGGCTGCCTTGGCTATTTACCAAGGTTGATGCTGAGGCTGAGGCAGACAAAAAACTTCGAAAATCCTCTGAAAAAACTCTTCCTTTGCTGAGAGAGAAACTCTGTAAACTCTGTAACCAACCTCTCTGAAACACTCAGCAACATGGCCTCTTCTTCCCGCTCAGCTACCCAGAACATGGCCTCCTCGTCCCGTGGTCTGCTCACGCTCTTTCCAGAGCTGAATGAGTCCACAAGAGAAATAACTGGTGCGGTGGCCAGTGAACTCAACCAAACACCTCTGGTTTTGCTCCGTTGAACTTTCCGATGCGGTCGGTGGAGCAAAAAATGGCGGTGCAAACTGATATTGAGGCCAATCAGTATACTCTGAAGTCATGTGTGGAAACCATGACTGCAGTCACAAACTTGTCGCACCGGCTGCAGAGCAGGACAAATGAGGTGCAACAGTTAAACTCCCAGCTGGCTCTGCTCCAACGCATGTATAAGGATGCGCGAGCAGAGATAAGTGTGCTAAAGACAGAAAACAAGGAGCTGAAGCGGAAGGCCACCGTGATGTTTCGATTTGGAGTCCACCGTATGCTGTAGTGGAGGAGCAGGGAGGAGGCAACTTGCTTGGTGGTCTAGGAAGCACGGAGGCAACACCGTCAAGGGCCGCTCAGGACGGAGGCAAGAAGAAAGACCGGCGGCAGAGTAGAGAAGAAAAATCCCACTGTTCCGATGTGTGTTGGTTTTGTTTTGTGTTGTTTGTTTTTTATTTTATTTTTTTGGTGTAAAATGGTGATCGAGGTGAGCCCCGACATGAATAAAATGAGTTTGGTGTGCAGTTCGTCTTCTTCTTGGTGTGCAGTTCGTCTTCTTCTTCAGCTCTTTTTTTCTTTTTTTTTTTCTTTTTTTTTTTTTTTTTTTTTTTTTTTCTTTTTTTTTGTTAAATATATATATATTATGGGTGGAATGAGGAGGAGTGCCTACGGAAGTATGGCTCAGTGATTGGGTGGAGATATGATACTAAGATATTTGAAAATATTAAAATAATAAAATAATATACAAGTGGAGGAGGGTACAAAAGTGATGAAAGATGAGTTCGGCAGTGGTTAATATAGATATATATATATTCGATATATTCGAATGGGATGAATGAGGGGTTCTGGCGACATCACAATGTGGGGGTGTGGAGTCTGACAAAATAAAGAGTGGAATCATGAGATGTGATTAAAGTGGGCTAGTGGAGAGAAAGGGAGAAGCAGTGTGGCTTTTTTTTTTTTTTTTTTTTAAATAATAATAATAATAATATAATAATAATGAATGGAAAGCATGTGCGCTGGTGTGGGGTGGTGTAAAATGAATGAAAAGAAAAAATAAAGAAATAAAAGGAGAAAAGGAAAATGGGTTTGAAAAAAGAGAGAGAGACGTCTTCGTCTGGTTTGCTCAGATCGAAGGCACTCTTCTGTCCATGTCAACGGCGGGCAGATGGTGGTGGTGGTGCGCCGCTGCCACGGCGCCATGGTGGCGAGGCCTGATCAGGCCGCCAAGGATGCTCTGAACGGGGAGGAGAAAGTAGAACTCCTTGGCGCCGATCTGGAGAAGGTCTTGTCGCCGATCTGGAGAAGGTCTTGGGAGTCGAGCTTGACGGGAGGGTTGCCGGGGAGGGTGGAGGACGCCTTCGACGAAGCAACCTGTCTTGCCGAGGACTGCGAGGGCGAAGCGGCGGCGCTGGAAGTTCGTAGAAGATGCGGGCGTGGTGGCGAGAGATGTTCATGCCGCCGCCGAGGGAGAAAGTCGACGTCGACGGTGGATTTCTTGCTGTTGCGACCTAATACGATGGCGTGGAAGTGCGCAGGTAGTACTCGAAGTCTTCGCCCTGGAGATCCGACAAGGGATGGTAATCGCACCGGCCTGGAGATCGACAAGGGATGGTAATCCCACCCGGGTGATCAAAACCGTATGGATTGTATGTAGAAAGTTCTTCGGTGGCCCTTTTTTTTTTTTTTTTTTTTTTTTTTCAACTTGTGTTGTGTGAAATGCCGAGATTAGGATGGGACGAGAACAGAGGAAGCTTCAAGGAAGAAAATTGATGGTGATGGTTGACTGGGTGAGTCAAGGACAGCGACTCGAAGGAGTTGGGCGTGAAGGTGGTGGACTCGAAGAAATTTCAAGGTATGTGTAGAAAATTCTAGCGGACTAGGTTGAGGTCGGCGGGCAGCTAAGGTGAGGTTGCCGCCCGCCGGGGAAGCGAAAATATTAGGTTCTAAACCTGCTCTGATACCATGTAAAAAATAAATTGATGTATATTATTGATTGATATATGTTGTTGTGTATATTACAAATGGTGAGTGGCTCATTATATAGGAGAGGGTGAGTGTAGTAGGTGAGGAGTAGGTGGTGGTAGGTGATGGTAAATTGGTGGTAGGTGATGGTAAATTTTAACAGAGAGTGAATAGTTGAGTCAGTGAGAGAGTTGAGAGAGAGAAGATAAGATCAAACAGTGAAATATTTATTTATATAGTACAACTAAGAGGTATAGAGGCGGGGATGCATCGGGGAAATTTCGGGGCGGGCCGGGGAGCCTATCCCGTCCCGCCCCGGCCCGAAAATTATCGGGATGTAATTTTTTAATACCAACCCCGGCCCTATGGAGAATAATCTTCGGGGAAAACCCTATTATTTGGGACGGGGCGGTCCGGGTCCCCGTCGGGCCGGGTTCATATTGCCATCCCTAGTAGACTCTTACCATTTAATAAGCACTTTAGTGATTTACATGATGAGGTTAATACCTGATTGAAAATAGACATCTGTGGTTTTCAATTATGTATTTGTTAATGAGGCATTAATTTCATGTTAAACCCATTGTGACAACCTGATTCTTGAATTTGACATTTGTAAACTGAAATATGTCATATATCACTAGTCTGTTTCTCTGACCACATTGCTCTAACTAGGAAACAACTTTTTCTTACTTGGATTTTTTCATTCCATAGGCTTATGATATGTTAATGTTTAATCATTGGATTTAACATTGTTACTGATGCAGACATTCCAGGAATCGTTAATTGCAGCTGGAGCTGGAATTTCCTGGTTGATTCAGTGGTGATGTCTCAATCTAAGACGTTAGTTGAATTTTGAATTCTCTGTGATGTAAGCTGGTTAAGTTCCTGTTTAGAATAGCTCCTGAAGTTCTTGTTTTGTGACATGTCAGGTAGCAGCATCAAAAATTAGACGGGATCCCCCTACAGGTTTTGCTTTGATTAGACCTCCAGGTCATAATGCTGTTCCAAAGGGGCCCATGGGATTTTGTGTTTTTGAAATGTGGCAATCGCAGCTCGTTATGCTCAGCGTGTACATGGATTAAAGCGTGTATTTATCATTGATTTTGATGTTCACCACGGCAATGGAACTAATGATGCATTCTACGATGACCCAGATATATTTTTCTTTCAACTCACCAAGTAAGCCATGATCTTGTTGGACATACCATCTTTACGGCTGACTATATTGGTAAGTCCAGAGAGTGCAAAAAGTCATTCTACAGTATGGTCTGCCATCCAAAGGGATGTGGTCGACCATATTGATCAATGGTTGACCATGCCAGAGCAAAATTTAAAAAAAAAAAAAAAAAAACTAGTTGTTGGAGACTTAGCTATAAATACCCAATACTCCTAAAAGCACCTAGATCTTGTTATAACTCTTGTCTCTCGTACACATATATAGCGTGAATCCTACCTTGGATAAAGAGTGCCACCTTCATATCTTCAACACAAGTTTTAGAAGAGGTTTCCCCAGGGGAGTCTCAAAGTTCTTTACTTGTGGAATGTATGACACCTGTCTCACCTAGACACTACATTGGGGGCTAAGGTATTGTTCCCCTTGCGAAACCCATTTTCTAGATTTGTAAAACTGTTGAAGTATTAGGTTTTGTGTGTGGAGGTTGCGGTTTTGGTGGGCCTATAACTATTGTAACCCTTGAAGAAGTGGATGTAAAGGTTTTGGGTTCCCTAGTAAAAACCTGTTTTGTTACTGAATTAACGCTAGCAGGGAGGCAGGGTATGGACAAGAAACCAAACCACTATAAATTTTTGTGTTCATCTCTTTATATAGTCACTTATTTTGAATGTTGATATTGTTAGTATAGAATTGTTTTATTTGTGATACATGATTTTTGAGCATATTATATGTCAAGAGGAGATAGCTAAAACATAGATTGTGACTTGGGAAATTGAAGGGCTAATTTGATGAGTCAATCACATAATCTTGAATCAAGAAAAGAAAAAAATTTAATCATTACTTGAATCAATATGTAACAAGTAACATAGGAATTACTATTGATTGATAGACTCTTGAAAGATTGATTTAAGCAAAAAGGTCTTAAATTAATGGTGAGGGTAGAACCAAATGATAGGTCTCCTATTTGAATTTAGATTGGCTATATTTGGTGTTCCAACTTCAGCAGTGAAATTGGAAAATATGAGCCGTCTGTCCAAAATTAAAAGGTTTAGACTCTGCCAAATTGAAAAATAACTATCCACTCTCCCTTCGTTTTTCTGTAGGAAACTTTCAATATGAAGGTCTCTCTCTCTCTATATATATATATCTTTGATTTGGCTGGTGACAGTTAATACACTGCTCACATAAGAATCACTATCTCCATGATTTATACATGGACTTGATGGAGGGAGAAATATAGACCAAAGGAGGGAAAATTTGAAAGGGAGAAAAAGAAGTTGCTCAACATAATTCTCCAATTAATGTTATGCTGGAGTTCCACTTGGGCATTTAGATGATAATATTGACATTCACAGACTTGATATTTTTGTGCTGACATCAGTTACTTTTGTAGGTTCATGTGGAAAATCCAATTACTGACCACGACTAATTATATTTCTATTTGATGTAGGATGAAGCTACCCTGGCACTGGTAAAATTGATGAGGTAGGTGATGGAAATGGTGAAGGAACAACACTAAATTTGCCTTTACCAGGAGGGTCCGGTGATATTGCTATGCGGACTGTGTTTGATGAAGTCATACTACATGTGCTCAGAGGTTTCAGCCAGATATAATTCTTGTCTCAGCAGGGTGAGGCTCTTCCCCAGAAAATTTAATATGTCACTATTACTTAAAATGAGACCATCTATTTACTTATTCTAAACAAAGGCCTCAGCATTTTTAACAGTTACTTTACACTCTTTGTGTGAGCAAAAAATAACATTTTTTGACATTTGGTAGAACAAAAAATTAAGGTCGATGGAAAACTAGTCTATTTGGGCAGAAAATGTTTCACTTGTAAACTATGGAAAATGTTTTTTGCAGTAAAGTCTTACCAATTCTACCACATATCACTGGCACCCCACCACCTCCATCTTTGCCCCACCACCACCACCACCACCACTATTAATACAATTATTAGTACATTAGTTTCAAGGATACAATTAAACATAGTTTGGAAATCAATCCGTTGAAACAAACAGAGCTATAATCATGGTTCTAGATTCTAGTTCAGTTGCATTCAGATAGTTCTGAATAGTCAGAATGGATTGCTTTTGCTTTTGATTTTGCTTTTGCTTTTGGTGTTTTTTTTTTTTTTTGGTGGTAATTTCATAACCATAACTAGTAGCTTATAAGATATCATTGTCTCCTTTTTACTGAATTCACTAACTTACACATCTTGTAACTACTCTGTTTTCAGTTATGATGGGCATGTGTTGGATCCATTAGCAAGTCTGCAATTTACAACAGGAACATACTATATGCTTGCATCGAACATTAAACAACTTTGCCAAAGATATCTGTGGGGGGCGCTGCATCTTCTTTTGGAAGGAGGATATAACCTCGATTCTCTTTCATATTCAGTTGGAGACTCGTTCCGGGCTTTGCTTGGGGAACGTAGCTTGGCCTTTGAGTTGATAACCCTTCCATCTTGTATGAAGAGCCATCGACCAAGGTAAAGCAAGCGATCCAGAGAGTCAAGTACATCCATTCTCTTTGAAAATGTATAGAATACTACTTTTACCTAATCTGTAGTTTTGCCTATATTGTTCTTGTGCTTTTTATAATGTCTCATTGCCATTATATTTTTACCTAATTGATGAAACTTTTTGTATCAGTTCACGTGTATTGGATTCAACCTTTTTGTTATCAGGTTAATGTGTGCATATGCTCTTGGATACAATTTTGTAGAAATAAATACGAATCATGATGTATTTGTACAGGCACCAAGGTATTTTATTTTCAAATAAAATGAATTATGTGTTTTGGTATTTTTTTCTTAGAAAAATTGAAGAAAATTACTCAATAGTATACTGCATCAACAGTTGGAAGACTGATTTATAGGCAACAGCGCATTTACATGTCCTTTTAATTATGTAAGAATATTTCCTAAAAAATTTGAATAATAATTCAATGTCCAATATTATTGTATCTGTGAGACATGGAGACCTCGACAGTGAGTTTTCATATATCGCACGATTCATATGTTTTTTCCTAAGACTTTGAATCATGAATTTTAGTAAAGAATTTAGGAGGAAAAAAGAAAAAAATGTATGAAATATAATACATTTCACATATCTTTTACTTCTCTTTTTAAATCCCTATGTTATATATGGCGGGCTTTTCTCAAATTAAGTCAAATTAGCAACCTATTTTTCAAACTAGGCTTAGTTTGGATGGAATTCCTAACTAGGCTAAAGCGCTATTACAAACCACGTTTTCATGTTTCCAGGCCTCTCGCAGAAATTTGTGAAATAGTAAAAGCGTGGTCACAAAACTACGCTTTTAATTAAGAAGAACGTGGTTACAACAAGCTTTTAAGTTAATCATAAAACGTGGTTTTAAACCACGCTTTTAAGTAAAATAATTTTTTTTTATTCAAAAAAACGTGGTTTCTAACCACGCTTTCTTAATTAAATTGTTTGTAAAAAAACGTGGTTATAAACCATGCTTTCAATAATGCACCAAACACACGCACTCACAAACACAAACACTCTCTCTCTCTCTCCACAAACAACACATGACTCCTCACACACACTCACACTCCATATATATATAAAATTTTAATATATATTTATAAATTTTATAATATATATTATATATATAATTTTATTTTATAAAATTGAAATCAATTTAATATATATAATAATAATTTATAAGCAAAATAATAATCAACTATATAACGATTACTTTTTTATTTTAATTCTTAATTTTTTTTTATTTTATGTTTATGATAAATATTTATTTTATTTTAGGGTTTAAGGTTTAATTCTAAATTTATTTTTTTTATTTTAGGGTTTAGGATTTTAGGGTTTAGATTTATAAAAAAAATAAATTTTAAGAATTAAATATAAATTCTAAACCCTAAATCCTAAACCCTAAAATAAAAATAAATAAATTTTAAGAATTAAACCCTAAACCCTAAAATAAAAATAAAATAAAAATATAAATTTTTAATCCTTCCAGTGTCCTCTACCACGTTATAGCACCACCTTTCAGTGTCTTCACCAACGGTCTGACACGACCATACAGTATCTCCTATCCTCTTTTATTTTTATGTATTTTCTTGTTTTGTTACTCTCTCCAAACTCAAGTTGGTTAGTTTCTATCCTCCTTGAGTTTGCGGGGGGCTGTTAAAATTTACCATCACCTACCACCAATTTACCATCACCTACCACCACCTACTCCTCACCTACTCCTCACCTACTACACTCACCCTCTCCTATATAATGCCACTCACCATTTGTAATATACACAACAACATATATCAATCAATAATATACATCAATTTATTTTTTACACTCTCTGACTCTTATCTTCTCTCTCTCAACTCTCTCACTCTCTTCACTCTCTCGTTCTCAACTCTCTCACTGTCTCTCAACTCTCTCGTCCTTCTCTCTCTCTCAACTCTCTCACTCTCATAGTCACCGACACGACGACATCACCACCACCACCGCTGGCCCCGAACCCCCTCTCTCTCTTCTCTTCTCCTCGCCTCGGTTTCTCTTTCTTTCTCTCCACTTCATCTCTCTCTATTCTTGAGCAGACGGTCTGTCTCTCTCTCACCACCACCGAACCCACCGCCACAGCCACCGTCGATCTCACCATAGAGCCTACTCATTGGCGTCGCTCAGATTTGTGCCAGACGATGGAGGTGTACTCAGATCTGTACTCAGATCTGTTATCTCTCTCTCTCTCTGTGATTTGATGTTGTTGATCTGTACTCAGAATATTTTTTTTTTAAAATCTGTGTTAATTATATATTGATCTGTTATATATTGATCTGTATTGTTCAGATTAATTTATATATTGATCTGTGTTAATTTTTTTTAGATTATTGTTCAGTGATTTTTTTTAGATTATATATTGATCTGTTTTTTTTTTAGATCTCTCTTGTTCAGATTATTGTTCAGTGATTTGTTGAACAAAATTAAAAAAAAAAAAAAAAGCTTGGGGATATTTCGGGGTCAGGGAAACCTGATCCCCGTTAGGGGACGGGGACGGGGACGGGAGGGTAATGGGTTCCCCCGCCGGGGATCGGGGGCAGGGGCGGGGATTTTTTCATCTTCGGGGATCGGGATGGGGGGTGGAGTCCCCGGCCCCACCCCGGCCGGTTGCCATTCCTAGAGTCTACAAATTGTCTGTAAACTCGTGAACCATCCATCCAATCCTCTGATATTGTTATGAACTAGTAGCATTTACTGATTCACCTCATTTTACAAGAAAGATAATTAACCAGTGTCTCCATTCTCTAACGCTCCATTTGGATGGACATGGTAGTAATTTGAAATCAAGCTACAAAGATCCTACTAAAATAAGTCCCCACTAAAAAAATATCAGTCTCTTCTATCTGAACTTATCTTCTTCTATAGTTTTTCTCTCCATTTATAATAGCTAACTCTTCAATATCTTCATTAACCTCAAATCCCTTGATTTCAAATTCACATCCATCCAAACGGAGCCTAAAACATTTTTATTTATCTTCTTCTTGATAGGTACTATTAGCTAAAACATTTCCATAACTGAGATTAGTATTGAATTCTGTGTGTTAAAGCCACTTCCAATAAAGAGAAAACAACAAAGACGAAAGAAGACAAGTAAGCATTCCAAAAAACTAAGATTAACAAACAGCTCCCCAATCCTTGGAAATCATAAAAGGTGGAACTCTTTTAAATGCCTGGTGAAATCTGAAACACTAATGATCATTAAAATGCCAAAATAATTATATGAAAAAAGAATTTTGGGAAGGGGAAGATGAATTCATGTTAAAACACTGCAAGCCAAGCCTAATACAGATTTCATTAGTTTCTAGAAAGTTAGAAATCCATAAGTCAGCACAAAACAATTGCACATCTGTGTCATTGCCCTCATATCGATTTGTTCATGGAATACTGAGGCAAGGGACCAGAAAATGCTCAAAATAGTTTCCCTCTGATGCAGTTGTCAATTATTTTCCTCCCTTCCCCTCATCATGGAGGCTTACTGAGTCAATCTGTAATTTCATAAGAAACCTTCTTGGTTTTGGAATTATACTTTTACTAATTGAGATGGAGAACAGCAGGTAACATCATAGCATATCATATCAATAAGTAATGCTCTACAGAAGAGTGCAACTTGGTATCAAACTTGCAATGTTTCAAAGCGTACAATTCATACAAATTGTAAAGCTACAAAAGTGAATTATGTTAACAGCAGTAATAAATTCAAAACTAGAAACTAATTAGAAAGGCTAACAAAATAGACCCATGGTTTAAGCTTCTTTACAGTTTGTAGTGAATTGTTTTGATATGCCACTCTTTTCTCCCACGGTTTATGACAAATCATCAACAAAGTTCTGAAGTATGGCTGACAGCAAATTTTTTCATACTTACAGAATGGGTTTCTCCCGAAAGCTTTGAGATTAAACTAAATTATCAAGTAGATGCATTTGTTCAGCACTTGAAAGTAAGTAGTGATAACACATTATGAAACTGCAGCATCTTGATGTTGAATCCAATATGAAGATCAAGCAAGTTTAAAAGATGTACATGTGCAAAAATTTACTAGCACAAGAAGAAAAAAGCATTCTGAATCAATGATCTTACAGTGGAAGTAGCATAAGTTGGCCCAGACCCATCAATGAAAATAATACCCTGTTCTGAAGCCTGATCCATAGCCTATAATACAGAGAAAAATAAAATAAAAAAAAACCATCATCGGAAGGAGGGACAAAAAGAGTCAGGCAAATTTAAAAGCAATAGAATGTGGTATTTACAAGAACAGACATAGTGTACCACACATACTGCCCTCTAGCAATATTCCCATACTGCATGATAGAAAAATGGAGTACCAAATGGGGTTCTGCCCACAACGATCTTCTTTTTTTTTTATATTTTCTAATCACTATTTTTCTTCTTCCTATGCTGCAAGTATCTCTTTTTCTCCCGAAGCATCCTTTCCATAGTATTCTGGGGTTGCAGATTATTCTCAAGTGTAAATAAAATAATCAAAGCAACAACTATCTTACTTTCAGTTGAAAACGAATAAGTTTTATCCTATACCGGGAAAAAAGGAAGTTAAAAGATTTTGGTATAGTTGTGGAAACACATTGAGTTGTTCATATTGCCATTGAATATTTGCATGAAAATTACAAGATACTTGAAGAATGAGCATCAGGTAAGAATAAAATCAAAATTTATGTAGCATCAATTTGGAGTTTCTTCAGCTACAAAAGTATGGTTGATAGAAAAATATTGATATTTTTTGTCCTGAAAAATAAATAAATAAAAAACAAACTTTAGATGAAGATGCAGAGTTAATGTACATAACATGTAAAAAACTTCAATTTAATATAGTTTGTATACACTTCTCTTAACCACACATATAACACATACCATTGATATGATATCCCACCACAAGCTACAAGTTCTTCCCAGATTAACCAATTGCTGAGATAAGCCTTTTTATCTATAATTTAACCCCATGCCTACACTTTGGTAGTAAATCAAGAGAAGAATATGCGTCTAGTGAGGAAATGTCATCCAAAAATAATCAAACTAAATGACATCTATTAGAATGCAGCGCAATAACAGATCAAATGACGCATAATAGAGAGTGCACTGTAACTTCCTTGGACAACAACAACAAGACATTATCAAATGTAATAATCCAAGGAACAAGAAGTGGAAACCTTTCTTCTCCATAAGTTCCAAAAATTATATCTTATAACGATAAGCATTCTAAAAAAGAAAAAGACAAGTAAAAAAGGTAGAGAGAGAGCGCAGAACTATGCAACAAAGAATATAGAATTGCCATGTGGTTCCAATTCAAACAACCTTACCTTCTCAAGCCCTGACAAGTAAGCTCTTGCATGAACACTAGCAACATCATCAACAGAAGCAGGTCGGAAATTTTGTAGTTCAATCATCTCTGATCCACGGAACTGAGCCACATATTATAATATCGTTAATAAAAAAGGGTTTAAGACATTGTTTCATGTAAAAAAATTACAATGTATTATGTATGCTGAAAACAGATCAAAATGTTTTTAATTCAATACTGAGAAAATTCATATTATATGGCTCCCCTGCTTTCTGTCGAACACACACAGATGCTTCCACTTACAACTACAGAGGTGACCATCTAGCATCTACAGGAACTTTCTACTTTCTAGTTTTTTATACCAAAACTGCCCCTCGACCTCTCTTTCTCACTCTTTTATTCATTTTCTTTCTCCTTATTTAGTGTTAGAAAATCACGCAAAACTTTCCTAACATTAGGTAAGACAGAAAAGCCAAACCTTAGTTGCACGAAGCGGGAGCGGGAGCGGGAGCGGGAGCAGGGGAACGTGGCCACTTAGAGGAGTCGTAAATTAGGAGCGCTTATGTATTATTTTTATTAATTATATTTTATTTATTATAATGAATAATAAATTATGTTAAAATAAATAATAAATAAAAATTAGATGTTTTATTTTATAAATTTTTGAAGCCTATAATTTGCAGACTAAAAAATGAAGTGCTAGTTTAGCAACTCCCCAAAATAAAGTATTGGCCACCAACTGTGCCAAAAAGTTTGAGTGAGGCATTTATAATATATTTCTACACTCTCCATGTCTGGCCACTCATAAATGGACCGCCCACATGAATGAATAATGTATTAGCAAACACGTGAGAAGATTTGAGCAAAAGAATTTCCTACTCCAATAGTTACACAAGTCTCTAACAGCTTAAGCATTTGGAGCTGTCAGTTGTTGGAATCAGATCACAGAATGCCTTAAAGCCTTGAAGAAGAAAATAAAAAAATAAATAAAAAGAAGCATTGACTCTGGTGTAAAGATGCAATGTCTTGACTGCGAGTGTAAGTGCCACCCCCAGTCACCTCCCCAAATATAGATGTACATGGCTGTGGTCTACAACTACAGAAAACAGTGAATATCTTAAGGCAGATGTCATGTACAGTAATGGAAAGTTCAAGATAAGAGAGGAAACTTAGCTTTAGTTTTCCTACTTTAATTTTGTTGTTCTCTGCTTTGTTTATATTTCATTTCTTCTTCAGTTCATTCTTAACTTTTTTTTATCTATTGATGTGCTTCACTAACAAATTTGAACACCCAGTTAGAATAAGGAAATTATGTTAGAATAAAGAAATTGTATTCCTTGATTGATGTAATGGGCTGTAATGAGCTGGCCCATAATTCATGCCTTATGGCACTCCTGTAATTATGCTTTATTCTTAATATAAAAGGGGATGAGGTCTCACACATTCCCTATCTCTCTCTCTTCTCTAAACTTATATGGTATCAGAGCCACAATAGGAGGAACCTAATACCAATCACAGTCACCTTGCTTCCACCGAAGGACTGCCCAGGCCACTCAAACCCCTGTCTGGGACAGCCAACCCCTATCCAGGCCACCCAAAGGCAGCTCTTGGCCATTCGGCCCTTACCCAGTTAAGCCGAAGGTCAGCCGGTTCCATACCAGGGCAGCCGAAGCCTCCTCTGTCCTCCTCTAGGTCTATCGGCAGCCCTAGTCTGTCCCTATAGGTCTGTCGACACTCTAGGAGGCTCCTTAGACCTCTTTCAGTCGTCCCCTCTTCCAGTCGACACTCCTGTGGTAGTCGACTCGTGCCTACAAATGGCTTGAGCCCTTGGTTGTTCATACCCAACCTTTGTCTTTTTTGTTTGTCTTCTTCTCCTTCGTATCTGTCTTCGCCTCTCTCTCCTTCTCCTTCGTCTCTATCTTCTTCTTCAAATAAAACAAAAACAAAAACAAAACCAAAAAATCTATATGAGTTCTTAATTCTTTATGCTTTCATAGTAGTAGTTATGTCTTTCCTTCCATTATTATCTTCCAGGTTTGGGATTGGCATTGTGTTTGAGAGTTACATAGAAGAGTATCCATGGCAAATTCCCTTAATGAGTCCACTACTTCTCAGCCACCTAAGAGCGAGAGTTCTATTATACCTCCTACTATGACTGATAACCTCAACCCTGGCCTAAAAATCACCACCTCTCTATTCAATAGTTAGAATTATCTAGCCTGGTCGCAGAGTCTTAACTATTTTTTTGAAGAGCAGAGGGAAGACAAGTTGTGACCAATGGGAGATCACCATCTCTCTTATCATGGGTTGGTTGATACATTTTATGGTACCCGAGATTAGCGAGAGCTACTTGTCTATGGACACTGCCCAGGATATTTAGGAGGCTGTAGCTACTACTTACTCTAGGAAGGGGAACTTTTCCCAGACTTTCAAGTTACGTCGCCCCATTGAAAGGTCGGTACAAGGTGAGATGACTATTCTTCAGTATTTTACCTTCCTTAGTAATGGGTGGAAGCGACTTAATCACCTTCAGGATTACAAGCCTGTCTGTTTCACTAATTCTGCTGGTCACTGGAAGTTTGTGGCACAAGACCAGGTCTTCAAGTTCTGGGAAGGCTTCAATGTAGAGTATGATCCAGTTCGGAATAGAATACTTGGCATGGACGCGCTTTCTTCTCTTCAGGAAGCCTTTGTTTTTGTGCAGAATGAGGAGAGTCGTTGCTCTGCTATGCTTCCTTCTACCACTACTAATCGCTCGGCCTTGATTTCTGCACCCCCTAGCGATGGAGAGTGTGTGATTCGTGATTCTCGTCCTTTCTCTGAGAAGGATAATCTTTTCTATGACTACTGTCGTAGACCTGGACACATGAGAGAGACTTGTTGGCAGCTGCATGAGACTCCTTTTGGTGGCCGAGGAGACCATGCTGGTACTCGAAGGGGTCGGTTTGGTCAGTCTAGAGGCCAAGGGGCCAATACTCGGGCATATCTTTCAGACACAGTTGAGCCACCATCATCTCCACTTGTCGCACCTGCTGCTGATGTTTCGGGGTTATCTGCCTCAGATTTTGAGATTGCTCTTCGCCACTTGCTAGACCGTCGAGCCTCCACTTCCACCACAGGTGCATCCTCTTCGTTCTTTGCCAATTCAGGTAACATGGCTTCCTCCTTATGTGCATTGCTATCTCATATGAATATGCCATGGATTATTGATTTTGGTGCTTCAAACCATATGTCTAGTTCATCTCATTTGTTCTCAAAATATAACCCCTCCTTAGGTCAAGAAAAAATGCATATCGCTGATGGTACCATTTCGTGTATGTTAGGGAAAGGTTTAATCCATGCCACCTCTTCCCTTCATTTATCCTATGTCCTCCATGTTCTCAATTTTAGTGTTAATCTTTCATCTTTGAGTTGTATTACTCGTGACTTGAATTGTAGCGTGATGTTTTTTTCCTGATCATTGTCTTTTTCAGGACCTTATCACAAAGAAGAGGATTAACAATAGTAGAGCGGAACATAGTCTCTACATTCTGGATCAGACGGACAAGCTGGTTCATTCATTTATTCAGTTACCATCCACCAAGGAAGACCTTTGGCTGTGGCACTGTCATTTAGGATATCCCTCATTTCTACTACTTAAGCATTTATTTCCTTCTGGTTTTGAGAAAAATAATGTGTCTGATTTTCAGTGTGAGTCTTGCCAACTTGGAAAACAACACAAAGCTTCTTTTGTTCCTTCTATTAATAAAAGTTCAGTTCCTTTTGCTTTGATTCATTCTGATGTATGGATCCCTTACGTTTTGTCTTTAAAAGGTCAAAAATAGTTTGTTACTTTCATGGATGACTATTCTAGGGCCACTTGGATATATCTTATAAGAGATAAGAGTGAGGTGTTTTCTGTATTTCAAAACTTTCATAAAATGGTGTGCACTTAGTTTGGAGCGGTTGTCAAAATTTTGCGTTCTGATAATTGGGGGGGGTGGTGTGCACTTAGTTTGGAGCGGTTGTCAAAATTTTGCGTTCTGATAATGGGGGGGGAGGGGAATATATTCACTCTGGTCTTGCCAGTTATTTCACCACTCATGGCATTGTTCATCAAACTTTATGCACTAATACTCCTCAACAAAATGGTGTTGCCGAACGAAAAAATCGCCATCTCCTTGATGTGGCCCGATGTTTATCCTTTGAAATGCGTGTTCGTCGATCTTATTGGAGGGGAAGCGGTCCTCACTGCAACTTGTTTGATTAATCGTCTTCCTACCGAAGTTCTTCACAAACAAACCCCTCTCTTCAAGTTTTGTCCAGGTCCACCACTTTTGGATTCTCCATTCCCCCTAAGACCTTTGGCTGTGTTTGTTTTGTCCATAATCATTCACCCTCCCGTGGTAAATTGGATCCTCGGTCTCTTAAGTGTGTTTTTGGGCGTGTTTGGTGTAGATTGTAGGGGGTGATTATACCTTATTTTAATTTGGAAATCTGTGCTAGACTATTTGGTGCAGCTTCTGCTTAACAGCTTTTTAGGCAAAAATAGCTTAAATAAGCTGAGAAAAACTGATTATTTAGAAGTTGGAGAAGGGGTGCTTTTGCTTACAGCTTTTTGATTATTAGCTTTTAGCTTGCAATAATCCACACCAAACACCCCCTTTGTGAGTTATTCTGCCACTCAAAAGGATTATAAGTGTTATCATCCTCCCACTCGCAAATGGTTCGTCTCCATGGATATCACTTTCTTTGAGTCTTAGTCTTACTTTCTACCCTTCCCCGTGTCACAGTCATCCCTTCAGGGGGAACCTTGATGTGCAGAGATTCTTGTTCCATTACCGCCAGTGGTTGAACAGATAGAGCATGATGAGCCCACTGTTGTTGTGGAAAAGGAAGCAGACAAAGTTTATGCCATAGACAAGGATAGATAGAAAGTCACCTGGATGCAAGAGACTACTTCCTCCCCTCTACTGCCAACTTCTTCTCTAGATGAGTGTCCAAAGTCAACCCCCTCTCCTGAGAGTCCAGGTAATTCTAATGCTTCTATTCCTGAGTTTTCAGATCTTGATGTTTCCATTGGTAATAGAAATGGGGTTAGGTCATGTACTCAACATCCTATTGCCAATCATGTTTCTTATT